CTAGGAACCAGCCCATTCGAGTCGACCACTTGGGTCGTGCCGGCAAGTGTACCATCGCTCACGTACAAATTGCCGTTACTGCTACCTAAAAACAGATAGTCATCGTTCACTGCCAGGCGGTTAATCCATGAGTTCACATTGAATTGAACCGTGCCGGCGACGGTTCCGTCTGTTCGATAAACCCCGCCGGAGGAAGTCGTAAAAAACACCTCGCCTTTATAAGCGACCAGCTCGCGTGGATTGCTGGTGCCTGCGCCGGGATTGATGTCTGTCAATCGAATCGTGCCGGCCTCGGTACCGTCGCTGACCCACAATTCGTTGCCGAATGTTCCGTCGTTGGCAGAAAAGAAGACCTTATTACCAACAGTAACCATGAAGGCCGGCGTCGAACCCTCCGCACCGGGGCGGATGTCTTTCACGAGCACCGTGCCTTCTTCCGTTCCATCGGTTCTCCAAAGTTCATCACCGTGGATGCCATCGTTGGCCCGGAAGAATACAACGCCGCCGGCATCTACAAACTCACTGGGACGTGAGAAAGGTGGATCGCCAATAGGCAGTGAGGTTAACTGCAATGTTCCGGTGGAGGTGCCGTCGCTGACGTCAAGATTGCGTGTTCCAGATGAGTCAACGCCAATAAAGAGCACTTGTCCATCAAACGCCGTTAAATGGCGGGGGGTAGCACCGTCGCTTCCTGAAACGAAATCACTGACCAATTGGGTGCCAGCCGCCGTGCCATTGCTGGTCCAAAGCTCTTCCCCGTCCGTTCCGTTGTCGGCGGCAAAGAAGAGTGTGCCCCCCACATCTGTAAGTTGGCTGGGCTTGCTCCCGACAGACCCTGAAACAATGTCTGCCACCAGAGATGTACCCACGGCGGTTCCATCGCTGGTCCAAAGTTCTTCGCCGTTGCTGCCATCTGTGGCCACGAAATAAAGGGAGCCACCGACATTGGTCAACTCTCTCGGGTTCGAATTGCCGGATCCAGCAAGGATGTCGGAGACCAAAATCGTTCCGGTTGCTGAGCCATCGCTCTTCCACAGTTCAGCGCCATGCACTCCGTCGTCGGCCTGAAAGTAAAGTGTGCTGCCGACCGCTGTAAGCACTCCAGCTAATGAACCATCCGCCCCCGGCCGAATGTCTTTTACTTGAACAGTCCCACCGGCGGTTCCATCGGTCTTCCATAGTTCTCGCCCGTTTGTGCCATCGTCTGCAGTGAAGAACAGTGTGTCGTCCACTACAGTCAACTCGCGAGGATGAGCGTTATCCGCCGAATCTGAGGCAAAAATCATCTCCGTTCCGGCTGCCGTACCATCGCTCTTCCATAGTTGACCCAGCTTCGTGAAAACAAGCGTACCATTGAAATCGACGAGTTCGCCGAAGGTCGAGCTGTTTGGATCACCAAAATAGTAGTGAGTGCCGGGCGAGAGATCTGCCACCATAGAGGTGCCGGCCACCGTGCCGTCTGTTACCCAGAGTTCACGACCATCGGTTTCCGTCTGCGCGGTGAAGAAAACCTGATCACCCACAACGGTCAGTTTTTGAGGATTGCTCCCGCCAAAGAAGCCCCCCTGGATGTCTGTGATCATTTGGGTGCCGGCGCTCGTGCCATCGGTAACCCAAACCTGTCGGGTGTCGCCGTAGAAAGAGCTGGGCTTCTCCGCGACGAAGAATACGAGATCGCTGGTCGCCACGAACTGTTCAGGGCTCGAATCGGAGCTGCCCGGGTTCAAATTGGCAAATAGAGACGTCCCACCGGGAGTACCGTCGGTTCTCCAGAGTTCGACGCCGTTCGTCGAGTCTTCTTTGGCGAAATAAACTTGGCCGTTCAACACAGCGAAGCTGTCGTCGCTGTCGAAGTTGATGTCGCGAATCAACTGAGGGCTGACCGAGAGTACTCGCCGTTGTTCAAGTGGCTCGATACCCGAACGATGCGGTGAGTGTGAAGAGGTGCTTCCCAGGAGTCGGAAGCGATTCGGGGTCCTTCCGTTCGAATTCTTTTCTCTACTCGGTCTTCGCGAGAAGAGTTGCATAGCTGCCCTCTTAGTTGTTGGAGTACAAGTCTGCCCCCCTTGCCTTAAGCCGAAAGATAACAATTCCAGTTCCAGAGTCCACTGAATTCCTGAGTCGTAGAGATTTCATCAGTTTCTAACTACGTGGCCTGGCACTTCACCCCACTCGACGAGACCAGGTTACGCTAAGGGCAAGATCCCCTCGACTTGGTGTGATTTCTGCCACCACACAGGAATGAGCTACACTTCTGCTTCACAGATTCACCCTGAGTGGGAAACGAGAAGGGAATGGACACGGATTCGAACAAAGTGGGTGGGATTTCACATGAGATGCTTGCTTGTAGTTGATGTGCAGAACGACTTTCGGCCGGGTGGGGCCCTCGCAGTGCCCGAGGGAGACGAGGTTGTGCCGGTCATCAATGATTTGATGCCACGATTCGACTTCGTGGTGGCCACTCAGGATTGGCATCCGCCGGATCATTGCAGTTTTGCCGACAATCACCCCGGCAGCAGTGTCGGGCAGGTGATTGAGCACTATGGCGTCGCGCAGATCTTATGGCCGCGCCATTGTGTGCAGGACACGGTGGGAGCCGCCTTCGCGCGCGGGCTCGATGTGTCAAGAATCGCACACGTGACCAGAAAAGGGACTAACCCTCAAGTCGATAGCTACAGTGGGTTCTTCGACAACGGGCGCTTGTACAGCACCGGGCTCAGCGATTATCTACAACAGAATAATCTCACTGAACTCTATGTGGCCGGGCTGGCGACCGATTACTGCGTGAAGGCAACCGTAATCGATGCGTTGGAACAGGGCTTCCACACGTGGTTGGTCAAAGACGCGTGCCGTGGAGTGAACCAGAGCCCTGGAGACGTGGCTGCCGCGATCGACGCCATGCAGAATGCCGGGGCTCGCATTGTGGAGAGCACCGAGGTTTCTGCATGACATCGCGATCTGCAGCGGAGTAAGTCCCAGCCGGTTAGTTGCCGGGCGGACCATATCCAGGCGGTCCGTAACCCGGTGGACCGCCCTGCCCTGGACCACCGGGACCTCCGGGATTTCCTCCGCCGGGGCCGTTGCCCGGCCATCCCGCTCCAGGATTACCCGGACCAGGACGCCATGGACCAGGACCAGGTCTCCAAGGACCGGGGCCCCAGCCTCCGCCACCGTTCCACCCCCCTCGATTCCACCCGCCACCATTCCAGCCGCCGTTGCCCCCGAAGGGGAACACGCCGGGCCAGAAGCCGCCGGTAACTTGTGGCACGAGTGGGAAGTTGTAGCCAGGCCAGCCATAGCCGGGCAGTGAGTAGCTTCGCCCGTCTGGGGTTCGACCGTAGAAGGGCTGTTGGAAAGCCTGGAAATCCCGTTCGGCTTGGGCGTCGCGAAGTCCTTGGCCGTTGCCCCATTGCTCGACAAAGATCTGTCGGTCGATGCCGCCACCCGCTCCGCGGATGTTGCTCTGCAAGAAGCGGTATCCGCTCACTTGGTAGTTGATTCCAGGCGGAGCGATCGAAGGAGCGTTCGGCGCATACTGTGGCGTTCGGAACCCTGTGTTTGGATCGTGTGTGTAATTCGATTGGGCGAAGATGCCAGTCTGAGCCAGCGCAGGCGAAGACAGCGAAGACAAAGCTCCGGCGACGAACACGATGGTCAATCGAGTATTCATAACGATCGATCTGGGTAGGAGGGTTTCCTGGTTTATGCGTGGCTGTAGTTCGGCCATGGACGCACAGTGTTGACTCTCCATGTTGCAGGTTTGATGCCGAGAACCACCACCCGCTGGGCTGTGTCATGAAAACCCAAGGGATTGAAAGGATTTGCGTTCAGCAGTGCACCACCGTGCCCTGGTGAGTGTGACGGTCTAAGCGTTGCTTTTTGGCAACGCGAGAAGGCCCTTGCGTGGAAGTACGTCAACATGATGTATGAAACCCCCGTTTGAACGGGATCGAGGGTTCGTGCTCGCATTGGTCATCAATCAACGTCGCTGGGGGGCAGACGGCTGGCTGAAGTCGTACACCGGCTGCTCGGAGGACAACCAGCGAGCCACTAAGCAATGCAGCGTGAATGGTTGCCCAAAGTCCAGCAACTTGTTGAGAGGCAGTACCGGTGGCTTCCAGCGTTAAGGCCCCGGCGACTGTGAGCGGGACGAGAAGCAAAACTTGTGATGGTTTCAGCTCTTCGGTGAGCAACGTCAAGATGAACGGCACGGACAGCACCGCGGCCACGATCGATAGGCAGAATTCTGGTCGAGCGAGTGGTGAGTCTACCGTGGCACGAACCGAGGAGAACAGCAGCGCGATTACAGTAACCCCGGCGATTAGATCGCCGACGCTGAAGACTCTGTGCGAGTTGTTTCGTTCTGCTGATATTGCCAGCGCTTGCCGCGTGACGAGCCACCTGGCAGTCAAGACGAGTGTGGCCAGTGGGAGAATCACGATCGCCGCCATCGCGGCCCAATCTTGCAAATCGCCAAGGAGGAGAGAGCCGCTACGGCACCAGACGGCCACCAGGCAAACCGTGGCCGAGATTCGCAGAATGGCCAGTCCCCGATAAAGCACTCCCGCAGCGACGAGCGTTGCCAACTGCGAAGTGAACAATGCCATCAAGAATAAGAACGGGATCTCGGGCCAGAAGTGACCTTTGGCTGCCTGGAATGCGCAGGCATCAATCCCCAGCAGGGCAATGGCTAGTAAGACGGTGAGTGCTCGATTGGCATCCATACGCTCCAGCATGATTGGAGCCAGAGTGAGAATCGAGGATTATTTCTGCCGCGGAAGAGCACTCGAACCCGGTTACTTCGAGGCAAAGGGCGTGATATGGGCAACCGTCATAATCGCACCTGGGTTCACATCGCCGGACTCAAGCGGGAGCCGAATGCCAGCCGGGCGACACGGAACGCAGTTCACTGCTAATAGGACAAAGAATTGCCGCGGCCCGATCCCAAGATTAGGCTGGCGGCCGCGAATATCGTGGTAAAGGTCCTATGCGGGGGCAGCATGTTTTTCTTGTTTCCCTACAACACCGATGCACCGGTTTACTATTTGCCGGTAACCACTATTGCCTTGATCTTGGTGAATGTGCTCGTGTTCGGGGGCATGGTGGGGGCCGGGGACGCCGGTCAGTTCGAACCCTATCTGTTGGAGTACTCCAATGGGCTACATCCGGTGCAGTGGGTCACCTCCGCATTCATGCACGCAGACCTCATGCATCTGCTCGGCAACATGATGTTCCTGTGGCCCTTCGGCCTTGTCATCGAAGGGAAAATTGGTTGGTGGCGATTCTTGTTGGTGTACCTGGGAATCGCCATCGGGGTTTGTGCTCTGGAGCAAACCATTTCAATCTTCACGGGAGAGGAGGGACGCTCGCTGGGGGCCTCATCTGCCATCTACGGGCTTATCGCGATGTCTCTAGTGTGGGCTCCGAAGAATGACTTGGTCTGCATGATAGTCTATTGGTTTCTTTACATCCCTCGCGCGGTTTCGGTTTCGATTCCTTTGCTGTACTTCGGGATGTTCTACGTGGTGTGGGAGTTGATTGCGTCGTCTCTCGGGGGCTTCGCCTTAGAGACCCCCATGCTGCACTTGCTGGGGGCCGTGTTTGGATTTCCGATTGCGTTCGTGATGCTGCTGACGAAACGAGTGGATTGCGAGGGCTGGGACATTATCAATGTGTGGAAGGGGGAACACGGGTCGTCATTTCATAACCATGAGATCAAACCGCTGGCTACCGAGGAGCAGCGTCGAAAAGATGCAATGCAAAGGGCTGAACTGCTCGACAAGATCCGTAAACTTCTTGCCCAAGAGCAGGGTAAATTGGCGTTGAAGTTACATGATCAGGCGTCCTCTTTTGAAGACTGGCAGTTGCCTGCGAAAGAACACTTGGAACTCATCGCCGCATTGCACAAACAGGGAGCTGCCAGAAAGTCAATCCCCTTGATGGTCGAGTATCTTTCCCGACATCCGGAGAACTCGGAGCGGGTGCGGCTGAAACTCGGGCAGATTCTCATCCGCGACGAGGATCGTCCCAGCCAAGGCCTGCAAGTGCTGGGCAAGATTGCCGAGCATGCTCTGCCAGAAAAGCTGGAACTCTTGCGACGTCGACTGGTGGCCGAAGGCAGAAAAGTGAAGGCACAAGGTGAAACCGTCGAGCTCGCGCCGGAAGATTGGTAATGGGCTTCGTAGGCTATGGGCCTTACACCTCACAGAGCGTGGTCGGGATGCTGCAGTGCGAATGCGATTTCATCGCCGCAGTATTTGCAGCGGTAATACGTGATCTTCGTGTACACCTCGTCTGATTCTTCCCGCAGAGTCTCCAATGCGAACCACTTACCGCATTCGTCGCAGATCTTGAGGAAGCCGGGTTGTAGCGGTTCGGGAAGAAATCCGAGATCGCCGATGCTAAGAGCGGCTCTGCTCCCAGTCTGGTCGTGCACTGCCTAGGGCTCCATGGCAAAAAGGGATTACATTCGAATCTACGTATCACATCATCCTGGTTGCAGCATTGCAAGTCCAACGGATTTCCCTTTTCACGGTGAGTTGGGGTCACCGAATTTTCAGTTGATCCAGCGGTGGCCTCAGGTCTTTTTCCGCGACTACAATAGAGGTTCTGCTAACGTGAGCGGCAGTCTTAGCAGTTGACTTTCTATATACCTGTGTGTTTTGGCGGGAGTGGTGGAACTTGAACTCGAGGGAGGAACATTCAGCTGCGGGGGCCTGGTGGTGGGGAATCGCCATTGCTCTGGTTCTTGTGACAGTTGTCGCATACTGGCCCGTCCGCAATTTCGAATTCGTCACTCTTGATGATGTGGAGTATGTGACGCAGAAGCCCTGGGTGCAGACGGGGCTGACATGGGACGGCCTTGCTCGGGCATGGACCGAACCGGTGGCGGCCAATTGGCATCCAGTCACGATGATCACGCACATGCTCGATTGCCAACTCTTCGGTGTCGATGCGGGCTGGCATCATCTAACAAACCTCAGCTTACATGTAGTTTGCAGTGTGCTGCTATTCTGTGTGCTTTGGCGGATGACCGGGCAACTATGGCCTGCCGCTATTGTGGCGGCTCTCTTTGCATGGCACCCCTTACGTGTCGAATCGGTGGCGTGGATTTCTGAACGAAAGGACGTGTTGAGTGGCACGTTTGCCATGTGTGTACTTGTGGCATACTTGGCTTACGTTCGAGATGTACGACTAAGGAGTTACGCCCTCGTGTTTGGGCTTCTGGCTTTGGGGCTTTTGGCAAAGCCGATGTTGGTTACCCTGCCCTTCGTGATGCTGTTGCTCGACTATTGGCCTTTGAACCGAGTCCGCGGCTGGGACAGTACGTGGAGAGAGGCTGTTACACGATATGGATGGCTGTCCCTCGAGAAGCTGCCGCTGATTGGGCTGGTTCTCGTGTCCAGTGTGATTACTTTTCTGGTGCAACGGGATCAGGGAGCGGTTGAAGCGGTGACGAAGTTTCCGCTGAGTGGTCGAATTGACAACGCAATCGCATCTTATGTCGGGTACATCGGCATGATGATATGGCCCAGCGATCTAGCCGTGCCTTACCCGTTAACTGGAATGCAAGCGACCGGTGCCCAAGTTGTAGGGGCGACCATCTTCTTGTTGGGAGTCTCCCTCTTCGCGTGGTGTGTGCGGCGACGGTGTCCATGGATTCTCGTTGGCTGGCTGTGGTATCTCGGCATGCTGGTTCCGGTCATCGGAATCGTGCAAGTGGGGCGCCAGGCAATGGCCGATCGCTATACCTACCTTCCATCGATCGGGCTGAGCATTGCGGCTGTGTGGACCCTGGCATATATAGTTAATCGCCGAAGGTGGCTAGCGATTCCTCTTGGACTGCTGATCACGGCCGCCTTAGCGGCCTACACCCTGAAGACTCATCAGCAGGTTGAATACTGGCGGAACTCGGCTGCACTCTATGCTCACGCATTGGAAGTCACCCAGGAGAACGCCACGGCCCATTTGGGAATGGCTAACGAACTGGTGCGACAAAACGAGTGGGCCGAGGCCATCAAACACTACCGCCGTGGGCTCGAGATTGAACCGGAGAGTATCAACGGCTACTACAATCTCGCAGTCGTGCTGCTCGCGCAAGGCGTGGAGCTTGAAGATGTCGAGCGGAGTCTACGGATCGCACTCGAGCGAGGCTACAATCCCGCCGCAGTTTACGCTCGACTCGGCGAACTCTATTTGATCCAAGGCAATCAGGACGAGGCTCGGAAGTCATTCGCAATGGCCCTGCAAGCAACTGGGCCCCAATTGCCGGAGACCGTGACCGGCATGGCGGTCATCCTGGTGCGAGAGGGCGAACCGGCTCAGGCGGTAGATCTATTGTCGAGGGCTCTTCAGGGTGGATTCAACCTGCAGGTTGCCGACAAATTGGCTTGGATATACGCCACACATCCAAGCGAGGAAGTTCGCAATGGGCCAGTGGCATTGCAATTAGCCTCGGAGGTATGTCGGAGAACCGAGAATGCCAATCCAGCCTACCTCGACACCCTCGCGGCGGCGTTGGCGGCAAATGGACAATTCGATGCCGCAGTGGCAGCGGGCACGAGTGCTTTGCGGCAAATTCGAGAATTGCAGCGAACTTCTGAATCGCAGCAGTGGAGCGATTTGGCACGGCAACTAGAGCGTCGGCTTGCCACCTATGGTAGGGAACGGCCGTTCACCGACGACCCGCAGCAGCTCAAATACTGATTCTACTAGATGTGCCGAAAGCTACTGCGAGCCTAGTTGGCGAACATCGCTGCTACGAGATATTTGTCTGCAATAGCAAAAACGTGTGGGAAACGAGGTTGCATCAAAAACTGTGATTCTTAGAATTGGTTTATGCCGTGATTTTTCGTGTTCGCCTTCAGAGAAAAGGAACAACATTGCTTACCGAACAAGAGGTCTCACGTAGTTTTCGACGCTTGTTTTCTGGCAAGGACATTGGGGCGGAGACTTTTGAGAAAGCAGAGACGCTGCTGGACGAACTGCGAGGTGAAAGCCCCCTGCGGCATCGTCTGAGCACCGAGCTTGCTGAGCTCCGCCGTATTCATGGTGTGGAGCAAGCCGTCTAGGACTTGGCTTCTCCAGGGCTCTATTGTTGTTCGACAAGAGGCTCGACTCACTAGGGAGTCGAGGTCTGAGCACTCGGCATTTGTATCTCACATTTGCCGTTATGGCTGAGTCTATTTTCTGACACCGCCGTGCACGACCGATGTCTGAATTCATCGGTCTGATTCTTCACGTGCGAACAACGTCTCCCAACAGGAATGTCTTGCTGGCAGATTATTCTTTGGGTTCATTACCGATTCATTTCGACACCCAGAGTAATCCCGTTCATGAAGACGGATTGGCGGTTGTTTTCACCAAGAATTCCCATTGTGGGCATTCGGTAACTGATCATGTTCGAGGGGCGAGCCAATCCGTCTTGCCAGGAGCCAGTCCAGCCACCCTTCAGTGCGAAGGCTTTGGTCACCGTGTAGCTGACTTCAGCTCGCAATTCCACGGAGGGAGCAAGTTCCTCGGTGTGGAATCCATGGTTGAAGGTACTGGCATTCAAGATCGCCGGCAGATTGTTAGGCCGTGAGGTGGTTTCCGCCGGAGGCACAGCATCGTCGAGGAAGCTGGCAAGCGTTCCAACCTGTCGCACATTCTGGAAGTTGAACCCGAGGAATCCGCGGCCTTGAGCGGCAAAGTTGAAACGCCCAACCCGTTTTGACCAGCGGGCCATAATCTGGGGGCCAACGATGTTGTTGTTGGCTTTGGTGTTCCAGTTGCTGTCGTCAAGGATGCCGCCCCAGCCCTGTACGACGAACCGTTCTTCGAACCGCGTGAATCGCAAACCTACGCCTACTTCGAGGTTTCCACCCTTGTGAAACTGGTCGAAGCGGTAGAAGGGCATCAACTCGTAGGTATTCACCTCAACCACATTACGAACCTTGATCGACTCGAAGGTCACCGGCAGGCGATACAGGTCGTCGAGGTCTTTAAATGTCGCTGGGAGTTCGTCTGCAATGTTAGTCGGGTCGATAACCCCATCGAGATTTCCATCGAAGTAGCGACCGAACGCTGGTCCGAAAATACTTCCGGGGAGCAGAATGTCGAAGCTGGTGTCATCCACGGTATCTAGCGAGGTGGTATTGATGAAGCCATCTAGATAGCCTACAGGGTGAAAGGACAGCAGGCCCGTTTCTAAGTCGACAAACGGTTGCAAGACATAAGTGTCTAAAAAGACCACATCAACGTCACCGGCGACGATTTCGTTCGTCTGCGGATTGATGAGGTTCATCCCGCACATCCAGCCCCAGTGGCCATCAACGTGACCCCATTCAATGCGGGTACCATTAGTAAAGTCGCCGCTGAAGGGACTCGTGTTGATGGTGTTCGTTTCGATTCGCCCACGCTCAGTGGGGAAGAAACTCGGCAAGATCTGTGTCGGGAACGTTGGGGGGAAGTCACCTCCCAACTCACCAGAGACCACGAACGCCGAGGCCCCGTTGGCTCCGATGTCGGTCACATCGGGGGCGGTGATCGAGGTGCGTATCCAATCTACGCTACCAAACCAACCCTGTCGCTGCGGCGGATAATCGCTGCCGTAGCTAGTAATCTCCGCAGGTGCGAAGAGTTGGAGATCATCGATGTCTTGGGCATTCGCTGGGGAGCAGACCCCGAGTAAGAGTGCTCCGAGCAGCATCAATGGCATCAAGCGAGTCGTCGACATGGTACCGATTTCACCTTGGCGAGTTGCGAAGTCTCCGCGCAGAAGTGGTCGGAGAACTTCTGTGCACTGTCTGGTTGTGCGGGTAGTATCGGCCGTGTGAATCATTCCAGTTGAGGAAGATCGGTAAACACTGCGGAATATGTGGCTCGCAAGGCCTAAACGTACCCTGCTTGCAGTGGATTTCGCCGGGAAAAAGAGCCTTCAACTGCCACGATTGCTTGCGCCAGCAGCAGGGAATTGCTACCTATCTGACCCGAAGTCCGTATTCTCTAGACAGCAGACGCGGACGCAGATCCTTTTGCTCGCCAGCGGTCAGAAATTGATTACTGCCCGACGAGGTGTGCGATTCGTATGGGCTGGCCTCAGGCAACGCAGAAGCCGAGCTTTGAGCGAGAAGAGCCGGGCGCAATAAAAAGGTCTCCGCAGGTGGGGCAGGTACCTGCGGAGACCAGAATGACCGAGGTCTCCCTCAGTCGCTACCTACTTTAGTGCGATGCCCGCGGTGATTGCAAGTGTCTCATGGCAAACTTTTTCGATTTCTCTTGAGCCTCTAAGGCGGGTGCCCGGCAGCAGGGAATGCTGACTTTCCTTTGTCGACTTACTTGTAACCGACCAGGTGGCGGATATGACTCTCACCTGTGGGGGGATAAGCGGTCACCGCCATAACTAGTAGTTGGTCGTTGCCTCGGCTTTGTCCACGGGAGATTGCACCCTAGGGCCTGCCGCGCTACATTGGGCCCCTGATGCTTGCACTACATCTGGCGACGCACCCGGCTTTGCCACCCTACCCGAAGGAATAAGGTACATGCCCAAAGTTCTGATGCCGATTGGCGATGCGACAGAAGTATTGGATACGATGTATCCCTATTTTCGGTTACCCGAAGATGGATTCGAAGTGGTAGTCGCCGGCCCCGAGGCCCGTCTATACCACATGGTTCTTCATGAGATTCCCCCGAATGCAGATCCCCCGTGGGATATCACCCAAGAGCGTCCCGGCTACCATCTGCCTGCCAGCGTGGCGTTTCGTGATGTCGACCCCACCGAGTATGCCGGGCTGTTTGTCTCTGGCGGGCGCGCTCCAGAGTACCTGCGGTACGACAAAGACCTGCTGCGGATCACCCGCCATTTTTTTGAGGCCAACAAGCCAGTGGCCTGCGTCTGCCATGGAATCGAGATTCTCACCGCGGCCGATTGCATTCAGGGCCGAACCATGACCACGGTGGCCAAGTGCGCGTTAGACGTTGAGCAAGGTGGGGCAAAATATGTTGACGAGCCAACCGTGGTCGACGGCAATCTGGTCTCGGCCCGAGTTTGGATGGACAACACGATGCTGCTGAAAAAATTCATCGAGATGTTGCATCAGGCCGCTGGCTAGCAAACGCTCACTAACTGATGGCTGTCTAGCCGCAGCTACCGTTCTCCAACTTCACTCTTTCATCTCTATAGCATGTAGGGCTCAATGGGCGACTGGATCTACCGAACCGACTTATGGGTCATTTTCATCTACATGGGGGTGATGCTGTATGTCGCCTGGCGGGTCTCGGCTACGAGTGGGGATATTGAAGGCTACACGGTCGGCAACCGGAAGATGCCAGGGTGGGCGATCGGCCTCTCAGTTCTGGGAACCTTCACCAGCAGTATTTCGTTCCTGGCTTTGCCGGCGACTACCTATGCCACGAACTGGAACACTTTTGTGTTCTCGCTAGCGTTGCCCATTTCGGCGTGGATCGCAGTACTCTATTTCGTGCCGCTGTATCGCAACCAGGTCCAGTTTTCAGCATACGAATTCCTCGAGGCTCGTTTTGGGTACTGGGCTCGAGCCTATGTCGTGATTTCCTATGTCATCCTGCAGATCATTCGCGTCGCAATGGTGCTGCTGTTGGTGGCGCTGGCTGTGACTCCACTGCTGGGTTGGAACATCATTCCAACATTAATACTGCTGGGCACCCTGGTGATCATTTACGACACCTTGGGAGGAATCCAGGCGGTGATCTGGACCGACGTTGTACAAGTGGTGATTCTCATCGTCGGTGCCCTGTGGTGTTTGTTTGCACTCACATTCGGATTGCCCGGAGGAATCACGGAATTCATCGAGTCGGTGCCTCTCGATCGCATCTCGCTGGGCGTATGGGATGCGGAAACGGAAAGCTCAAAGCCGTGGTGGGATGTCTGGTATCTGGGACAATCCACGATCCTCGTCGTCATCATTTACGGAATCAGCGAGAACCTGCGGAACTACGGAACCGATCAGAATTACGTGCAGCGAATACTTTCCGCACGAAGCGATCACGAGGCCGCCAAATCGCTGTGGATCGGGGCCTGGGCCTACTTGCCCATCTCCATCATGTTCTGCTTGATCGGCACCGCACTCTGGGTAAACTACCCTACCCCGCCGATTGTCGATGGCGAGATGATCTCTCCCGATAAGGTTTTTCCGAACTTCATTCACACGCGTCTTCCGCTTCCGGTAGCAGGGCTAGTCATCGGGGCCATCATGGCTGCGGCAATGAGCACCGTGGATTCCAGCCTCAACTCATCGTCCACGGTGGTCTACGTCGACATAATTCGACGGTTTGAGCTGAAGCCCGCTTGGGTTCCCGAAATCATCATGCTGAGAGGGCTGACTATCACCCTCGGTATTGTGGGCACCGCGGCCGCGGTAGCGATCTATCAGAGGTATCTCAACGAATCTGAAACCATCATGCGAATGTGGTGGACCTATGCCGGAGTTGCTGGCGGCGGGATGTTCGGGCTGTTCTTGCTGGCCTGGCTGTTGCCTCGAACCCCGAATTGGGCGGCCATCCTTGGGGTCATCCTTTCAATCCCGATGCTCGTCTGGGGTATTCTGCCTGTGAGCGTCTTGGAAGCCCAAGAACTCGAGCACCTGGCTTGCCCTCTGCACGGAAACCTGGTCGGAGTTGCGGGCACCTCGATCATTGTCTCCGTGGGCTTGTTGGCCCTGGTCGCAGTTTCGCTTGGGTTGTGTCGACCCAATGAGAAGGCCGCGTTGCCGTCGGAAAAGTAGGGCAGCAGCTGTTACAGTCTCTATTCAACCCGCTCCTCGCAAACGGTAGATTCTCTGGCCGAATTGAATCCTTGTTAGTATTCTCAGCACCTCAACCCGACCGGACTTCGTATCCGGTCATTACGCCGACATAACAGTGTTGGTATAGCGAGCAGCCAAAGTGGCTAATCAATCGAAGCACTATTCGCGATTTAATGAGCAAGACCTCATCCTGCGCGAAGAGTTGGCTTTGGACCGCACACGGTTGGCCAACGAAAGGACGCTGTTAGCTTATTTGAGAACCTCGCTGGCACTGGTGCTCGCCGGCGTGACATTTCTCCACTTCTCAAATGCTATCTGGTTCTCCGTATTTGGTGCGGTTTGCCTGCTCGTGGGGCTCATCGTGGTTCCGGTTGCCGTGCACCGTTATCGTCGCATGGAAGCGGACCTGTCACCCCTCCGACGCCAAATCGATGATGCGGTCGCGAAACTTTCACACCGCGGTGAAGGCCCGAAAGTTGAATAGGCGCCGGTCTTGCAATAGGAGAAGAATACAAGGTCGGCGAGAAGGCAACCGGGGCACGTGGGTCTAAACTGACCGAATTTCGTACTGCCCTGTGTCTGATGCTTATGCTAAGAGCATAACGGTTCAGATGTGCTGCGAGACATTCTCTAATCTGTGCGATATCCTAATCTGCCGAGTCGCGAGTTAAACAACCAGATCGGGCAGGCGCTCAGGGTGGTTGTTGCGCCTTACATATGCCCTTCTGCTTGCAGCCTAGTTAACCATTAGAGCGGCATGCCGCCACGGCCAGGTTAAGCCCGGGGAGTCGTTCGGATGAGCTTTCTTGATTTCTTCGCATTACTTGTTTTGGTCGTAATTGTTGTGTCAGCAGTTGGTGGTGCCGTGCTGTTGGGTTACATGCCTGGTCGCATTGCGCGGCAACGTTCTCATCCCCAAGCCGACGCTGTGAGTGTTTGTGGGTGGATTGGGTTGATCACATTCGGCATTTTGCTGCCTTTGGCCTACGTATGGGCCTATTGGAGTACGCCGTCTTCGAGATCGCAGGAGCACGCAAAGGCATGATCGTTTTCCTGACGCTCGCTTACATCGCCTTGCTGTTTGCGCTTAAGTCGTCTGGCATCATCCGGCTCAACCTGGCTTGGAAGCTCTCCCCCATTGCCTGGATGTTTTTCCTATTGATCGTTCTTTTCATTCCCATGCAATGGGGTGCACCATCGGGGCCGGTGGGCGTCTTTCGAAATGTCATTGAAATCGTCCCTGCAGTGTCCGGCCAAGTAGTCGAGGTGCCGGCGGAGCCACTTACGGAAGTGAAGCAGGGCGAGGTTTTGTTTCAGATCGATCCGGAACCATTCCAGCAGGAGGTTGCCCGGCTCAGTGCAGCTCTAGTCGATGCTGAGCAACAACCCGAGTTGCTTGCCTCGGCAGTCGAGATTGCAGAAGCGGCGGTGGCTCGCGCAGAGGCCGAGCGTGAACGTGCTCGGCAGAAGCTGGCCCGCAGCACGGAATTGGTCGAATCGGCGGCGGTCACCCAGGAAGAGTTCGAAGAAGACCAGCGGACATCGATCGTGGCCGACCGTGCTTACGATGAGAACGTCGCTCGGCTAGCTCAAGCTCGGCTCGAACTCGCTGCTGTTACTGCCGAGGGTGAGAATACAGCTGTGGCTCAAGCCAGAGAGCAGCTCGCTCGTGCAGAGTACGATCTCGAACACGCAACCGTACGTGCCCCTTCCGATGGACAGGTGCAACAACTGGCCCTGCGTCCCGGTGCCCGTGTGGCAGCCTTGCCGCTAAAGGGGGCTTTAGTATTCATCGATTCCAGTCGCACTCGTGTTTCCGTCGCGGTGAATCAAAACCAGCTGCGATATGTTCGCCCGGGGCAAGCTGCCGAAGTCGTATTAAAGTACTTGCCTGGAATGACGCTGCAGGCAGAGGTCCTGGGAGTTGCGGGTGTCACCTCCGGCGGACAGGTGCGAAGCTCAGGTGTGATCGAAGATCTGTCTCAGAAGGAACTAACACCGGAGCCTTATCAGGTGGTGTTGAAGATTACCGATGTACGGGTTTCTGAGAGTGACTTGCCAGGGGGAGCGGTTGGAACCGCTGCGATCTACACCGGTAGAGTCCAGTTTGCCCATGTGATTCGCCGTGTAATGTTGCGGATGCAGGCTTGGATCAATTATGTGTTTTAAAGGCGATTCCAGGTCAGTTTCCGGGGGCTGACAATGTTGCCTGCTGGGCTTTCGCGAATCCCCCCAGAATTGTCTCACCTGACCTAGCGCCCTATACTTGCGGAAGTTACGGATACTTGCGGAAGTTACGGAGTCTCTGGCGTTTTCCGAGAGGTGTATGATGAGCCGGGCTGTTGCGCTGCGTTATCTGTTGTTCTTGTTTGCCTTGACGCTGGCACTCGTGGCTCGAATGGTGCCTGCGGTCGGTGGTGAACCTGCTGAGGCCGACACCGCGGTCGAAGCAGATGCCGAGGAGAAGTTCCTGCGGCTCGTGCGGAATGACGATGGCGAATTGCTTTCGATGGACACGGCCTTGGTCACCTTTCTTCCAACTGGCGATGAGAACGCCGGGGTCGAAGTTACGCTGGTTGGCGTCGTTCACATCGGAGAGAAGCAGTACTACGAGCAGCTGAACGGAGAATTCGACAACTTCGAAGTTGTGCTCTACGAGTTGGTCGCCCCTGAAGGTACCCGCGTTCCCAAGGGAGGCGCCCCACGAGGCGGCAATCCGCTATCGATGATGCAAGGTGGCATGCAGAGGATGTTGGGGCTTGAGTATCAGTTGGAGCAGATCGATTATCAGCGTGAGAACTTCGTGCATGCTGATATGTCGCCCGAGGAATTCGAGAAGTCGATGGCCGATCGGGGCGACAGCTTCCTGGCCCTCTTCTTTCGCATGATGGGACGAAGCATTGCCGAACAGGCACGGCAAGCCTCTCAAAATGGAGGGCGAGCACAGAATAGCGACGCCGATTTGTTGCTGGCACTCCTCAACCCCGAGGGTTCCAACAAGGCCCTCAAGAAGATGATGGCTGAACAGTTTGAAGATCTCGAAGGGGCGATGAGTGTGATCGACGGGCCCGACGGCTCCACACTGATCACTGACCGAAATCAGAAGGCCCTCGAAGTGCTGGCCGAGCAGATCGATGCTGGCAAAAAGAAAATTGCGGTCTTCTACGGCGCCGGCCACATGCCGGATATGGCCAAGCGGCTGGCCGACGATTTTCAGCTCGATCGAGGTAAAACCCGCTGGCTGAAAGCCTGGGTAATCGAAGAGGATGACAAAGATTAGCCCGGCTGCGTTCGTGCTGTCACAGACGATGCTATCGCGGCGTTGAGGATCCTATCGAACTGATCCTCACACCCTGTGAGTCTAATCGCCCCACTTCATTACAGTTTCGCAGCGATACGGCCAACCGATCTTGATCTGCCGTAACGGGTTTGGGAAACTCCCGCCCGCTTGTCTCTGAATGGGCGCCGCCAATGGATGGCTTAGTCCGCGAGCATTCCCGAGTTTCTTCATCGATCGAGCGACCGGTACATGGATGTCGTTAGCGGTCGCGTCGTTACGTACGACGCGCTATCGGATAGTGGGCAAAAGAAGTGGTACGCGCAACCCGAGCTTTGGTTGCTTGTCTTAGTGGCAATCGGCACGCACTTCGTACGCCTGCCTGATCTTTCTATTCGCGGCGAAGAGTCACGCCGCGCCCGGGTTGCCTATGAGATTCTGGAGACCGGCGACTGGGTGGTTCCCCGCCAACAGGGTTTGCCGTATTACAGCCGTCCGCCCTTGGGAAGCTGGCTGATCGCCTTCTCAGCCGTGGCATGGGGCGAGTTCGACGCATGGTCGGTACGCTTTCCTTCGGCCCTTGCGACGCTGCTCACGTCACTCTTGATCTACGGGTATGCGAGGAACTTTCTAACTCCACTGGGTGCCATGGCATCTGGCGTGGCTTTTCTAACCATGCTGCAGGTGATGGAACTAGGGCGTATGGCCGAGAGCGAGGCCGTGCTGACAGCCTTCATCACCGCTTCACTACTGCTGTGGCATTGGGGTTACACGAAACATTGGAACCCTGGCCTAACCTGGGCGACCGGCTATGGCTTTGCCGCCTTGGCTGGGCTGACGAAGGGGCCGCAGGGCCCGATCTACTTCTTCGCGGTGAGCATTGTCTTTCTCGTGCTTCGTCGAGATTGGCGTTACCTGCTGAGCACCGGGCACGCGATCGGGTTGCTGGCCTTTGCTACCGTGATTGGGCTGTGGCAAGTTCCTTTCTACTTGGCGACCAATTGGGAAGCCGTTCCCCTGATTTGGGGTAAAAATGCTGCCATCCGATATGGAAATACGGGCTGGGTCGACTTGGCCATCCATTTGATGACCTACCCAATTGAGGTTTGGGCCGCGATGCTGCCCTGGTCGGTGTTGCCGATTGCTTTCTTCCACCGCGGGTTTCGTCAGTCGATCGACAATGCCCTGCCCTACGTTGTCTTCCTGGTCGTGGCATTGTTAGTGACCTTTCCAAGTTGCTGGATTGCGATCGAAGCACGCACGCGATACTTCATGCCCCTGTTCCCATGCGTGGCAATATTGTGTGGCTTGGTGATTGATCGCAGCGTGATGGCGGTCACACGTGAAGCCGGTTGGACTCATCACTGGTATCGATTCGTTGGACTGTTTGGATTGGGTGCCGCTATTGGTGCCTGCGTAGTTTGCATTGCCAGTGTTTTGGGGCTTGGCGGAAGATCTCCCCTAACACAGCCAGTGATGTTCGCGATCGCTTACATGTTGGTTGGCATCTCAGCGGCGTTTGGTTTGCTTTGGCTGCGGCGTGAACACCAATACTGGCGGCACGCCGCGTCGTTGCTCGTGGTGGCTTGCTTCTTGGCACTCACCTTCGGTGGAGTCCGAATCAACGAACTTGTGGCCAAGAGTGTGCCGAGTGACGTTCAGGTTCACGAGGTCGCCGCGAAACTGCCAGGCGATGCTCAGCTTGTCAGCCTGGGAAAAGTACACCACCTCTTCGCGTATTATTACGAACAGACCATTCCCGTGATTCCGTGGTCGCCACGGACAAAGCAGGTACCCGAGTTTGAGTACTTCTGCATCAACAAGCGGTCGAAGCCCGCGGAGTTGCCATTCGCGTGGGAAGAGATCGCTACAATCAATTGTGATCGGCGATTGCAAGAAAAACCTGGAATGCAGGTAGTCGTGGGTCGCCGATTGCGGCAAACCGAAATAGTGGGACAGCGCGAAGAAACGGAAGTGCGTCAGTAGCTGCAACTTTTGTGTGGCTGTTGAAACAGTAGAAGCAAGTTGAGCCTCATGGACAATTCAAGCCGACGAGAGATCGACGCGTCGCCACGACCGCGTGGGAGTCGATGGTCGTTGGCGCTTCGATTGTCTATCAGTCTCGTCTTGGTCGCCTATTTGGTTGCCCACGTGCATTGGCCTCGGGTTCTGGAAGCTCTACGGGAGTTGCAGGTCGAACCCTGGCTGGCAGCTCTTGGAGTTTATCTCTGCTCTCAGATCCTCAGTTCCCGCCGCTGGGCCGGGTTGGCCCGAGCTGTGGAGTTGAACGCCAGCGATGGCCGATTCCTTCGGCTCTACTTCGAGGGGATGTTCTTCAGCCTCTGTCTGCCGACCTCGATTGGTGGCGACGTGGTAAAGGCCTACCGGCTCGCCCCATCGATGGGCCAGCGCCTTCTGGCGGGTTGCACCGTGTTGGTCGATCGCCTGACCGGGCTGACCGCCTTGCTGACACTCGCCACGGTCGCTCTCTTTGCTCAGGCATTCCAGCCGGCACTTTGGGTGAAGGTAACAGTCGGCTTAGCCGTATGGTGTACCGCATTGATCGCGGCCAGGGTTGCATTTGCCGCCTTAGGGCGATGGTCGGACCAGTTGTCGGCCGACGGCGCCATGGGCAAGGTGTTCTTGCGGTTGCGACCTTACAACAACAAGCCGGGTGTGATTCGAACGGCTCTGGGCTGGAGCCTCATCATCCAAGTGGCCAATGTTCTGACGGTAGCCTGGCTGGGGCGATCCATCGGATTGGAAATTCCCCTGCATGCCTACTTCATCGCCGTGCCCGCTGTGGCGTTAATCACCGCCCTGCCCTTGAGCATCAACGGCCTTGGAATCCGCGAAGGCGGGTTGGCCGTCGTTTTGAGTGGCTATGGCGTGTCGAACGAGATGGGCGTCACACTCGGACTAATGTGGTTCGTGGTCGTGATGATCTCGGGTTTGATGGGTGGGCTGGCCTACATGTTCGAACCGGCGGGCCAAAACTTAGAGCGCGAGAAGGCAGCGAACGACCGGTGGAAATCGAAGGGAGTTGGTGGCGAAAGTGAAGCGACGATTCCCTCTCCCGACATCCTGGTGTTCCCAGGCACGATACCCATTTCTCAGTACATTGACGCCCCATGTGTAGTTGGGGCGGACAGTAACCAGCGAGTTGACACAGCACACAGAAACCATCACGCACCCACACGAGCTTGGGTGTGGAATCGGTGGCTTAAAAAAAAGACGCCGCCCACGAGCAATGCGAGGGAAAGCATGTACTTATCCGTAGTGGTTCCGGTTTACAACGAACGTGAAAACCTGCAAATGCTGTACACCACGCTGAGTGGCGTATTGCGATCAATTGGCAAGCCCTGTGAGATACTGTTCGTCGACGATGGATCGCGGGATGGCTCGAGCGAGTTGCTTCGTGAATTGGCCGCCAAAGATCAAGCCGTGAAGGTTGTCGAACTGCGACGAAACTTCGGCCAGACCGCTGCCATGAATGCCGGGATTCAACTGGCAAGCGGCGACGTGATCGCGATGTTGGACGCCGACATGCAAAACGACCCGGCCGATATCCCAATGATGTTGGCAAAGCTCGACGAAGGATATGACCTGGTACACGGTTGGCGGAAAAATCGCCAGGACGCCTGGATCAACCGAAAGTTGCCTTCGAAAATTGCCAATTGGATCATCTCGAAGGTGACCGGGTTCCCGGTTAACGACCTCGGCTGTACGCTTAAGGTGGTTCGACGGGAAATTGCTCAAGAGGTGCAACTCTACGGAGAGATGCATCGCTTCATACCCATTCTCTGCCACTGGCGGGGTGCCCGATGTGCGGAAGTCGTCACCCGACATCATCCACGACGATTTGGTACTTCGAAGTACGGCATCTCACGGACCTTCCGTGTGATTCTCGATTTGATTACCGTGAAGTACATGATCGGCTACCTGGCGAGCCCGATGCGGCTGTTTGGCACTATCGGCATGCTCTGTCTGACTCTGGGCGGTGCTACTGGATTCGCCACGCTGGCGATGAAGGTGTGGCAAGGTGCCGATGTAACGGGGAACCCCCTGTTTTTGCTCACGGCGTTCCTGGCGATCGTGGCCATTCAATTCTTCGTGCTAGGCATGCTGGGCGAGGTGAACGTCCGCACCTATTACGAGAGCCGACGTAGCCAGCCCTATGGCATTCGCGAATTGGTGAACTTCGACGTTGCCACAGTTCGGTCGCACGGCGAAGAGCAGCATGCCCGCGCGGCATAGGTTGCGAGGGTTGTTGGTCGTTGGCTGCAGGCGAAGTAGTTCCAGCAGAGAGGCTGCGGCTTGGCCATGCTGTTAGGTTCAGCGGAGCCTGCCCAAGTGGTTTGCGCGACCAAGTCTCGATAAGCAGGGATGTCCGTCAGGCATCGCGGTATCGATTCGGACCCTGCTAGAACCTCACCACCCGGTTGAGAAGCCAGGCTCCCCAGGCGACCAGGATCACGTTGCCGAGCCAGACGGAAACCGGGGGAAGATCACCCCGCTTGGCGAGGTCCACTCCGTAAGCGAGCAACGGATAGTAGACGATCAGGATAAAGAGGAAGCACAAGAAGAAGGTCGTCAGAAAGTCGGCGTTACGCAAGCGGATGGCGAGCGGGGCTCCCACGAGCACGAAGCACAAGCAACTGAATCCGTTGGCCCAACGCCGGTGTGGTTCGGTGTATAGTCGGGCGATGTGTTTGTCCAACTCCGCCTTTACTGCATCGTTAGTTTGCCACTCCACGCCCGTTAGGCCGGGGATGTCGCCGCTGACCAGTTGAAACGCTGCTTTCGCGGCACGCTTCTTTTCCCACTTGCGCATGTTTTCCTTCGCTAGCGCGATTTCCACTGGAATATCGTGCAGGGCTAGCCACGATGGCGTACGCGAGTTGTCACCGCGAGCACTGGCCTCATCGAGGGGGATCGAGCGGCGGATTTCCCCCGGGTGGTGGAACGAGGCGTCACCAACATCGACCGTGCTGTTGATGCAG